GTACCTGTACTTCTATCATTCGCAAGTTTTGCTAGGTGGTGTGAGACAGCTTTGTTTGCAACCGGACGAACTTCGTTTAATTCAATGAAGCAAACAACTGACAATGCTAAAATAAATTGCAGAGGTACGCTAAAATTAATTGAAAACAAGCAAATAATTTCAATGAAAAATAAATCACAGAGAAAGGTAACTTGATACATTACGGTAACAACACTTTTGACGCGCTGACCGCTTCTCCGCGTCTGATGTTTTTTTTCCCTTGTCATAATACTTTATACTGAGTTTTTTAGCCTGCAACTCGGCCACGACCTTTGCTTTTTCCGTGAAAAATGGGTAAGTTAGGGAGGGGCACAATGGATTACGTAAAGCCGATGAGATATTCATACAGTTATACAAACATAGCGATCCCCATTTGGTGGGTTGAATCTAAATTTACCTTTCCTCAAACCTTTAACAAATACTCTGTATGACGCAGTTTTTCACGACCTCCGGTGAAATGGATCGTGCGAAGTTAGACGGCCAGGTTGAAATGGGCCGTAATATTTTGCTACACAACGGAAATGGAAGACAACTATTGTAAATCGAAACAGTTTTCATTCAACTACGAGCAGACGCGATGGGTCGAAAAAAATTAAAACGAACCCTGACCTCTGGAAATACCTCATTCATAGAGTGCCATAGTACCAAAGGTCGCCGAGCACGACCGTACAACGTACTTTGCTACATCACTACAGATGCATGCTAGCTGACAAGGGGGTTTCCGATTAAGGTAACCAAGATGGCTTCGCAGAGTGCGTGATTTTTCCGCGGTGTTTAAAAACAGCATATTGTTGCCGATGTTTCTGTAATTTTCGGGTTATTTTTTATTTTTAAGTAACCGAGCATTTCACGTTTGTGTATTTTGCCACTGAAAAGTTAGTTATCGATGACAGCACAGCAATGGTCTGAATGGTACTTATCCACTACTACATCGCAATGCTATCAGCACGGTGATCGTTACAGCGAAACGGCAAATGTAAAATTAGTCAGTTTTATAATGCCTTCGGAGAAAAAAATGCGTGAAAAAAATTATTTAACAGTATTCCACTGGAAGCTACAAGGCTAGAAGTTGTAGACATGTTGCGAGATAAGGGTGAAAAAGTTTATCATTTACAACTGTATGTTTTTTGTATTCCGCTTGCATGCTGGAAGCGTCTACGTCTTGTCTTTTTTTTTGTAGTTTGCAAGACTAGTTGGTAGCGCTTGAGGTAAGTTAAACAGGGTCGCGGACAGGAAGTTACACATCGCCGCACCGTAACTGAGGCCAGCAACTCATTTGCATATAACATCAACAGTGACTTGTCAATCAAAGAGCAACGTAAACAAACTTTCGGGACTTTTAATCACATACGCGTGCCTTGATTCCCTATATTTTAAAATCCATTTTTGGGCATGTTCCAGCATTGACAATGCTCCGAAATTCCAACGCTATCTAGCCAAGACTGTCTGGGTAAGAAAAGCAAAAAAAAAAAAAAAAATTCACTCCGAGTGCCCACGAACATGCATCTATACCTTAATTTAAAACCCAAGAATTCACCAAAAATAGATGACAAGAAAAATGCTAATTTGCATATTTGCACAATAAACTGGGAATTACTGCTTTGTCACACTTCGTCAGACTTTCTAGACTTTACATTTGATGTAAAACCAGAACAACTGCTCTTGAATATATAAATCAGAAACACGTCATTTGTACCAGTGTTTTGATGGGGTCGGTAAAATCATGTGGCAATGCCCAGTAAATATGACGTCATCTAATGAATTATTAAACAGGGGGCGGTTCTAAGAAGGTGACCTTTTATCACGACCAAAACATCATGGCTTCTCTTCCATGTATTTTCAATAAAAAATCTACGAGTATTTCAAAGCCTATGGTTTATCGTGAAGAGTACAAAGTGGGATATTAAATTATTTATCCTCAATGATTTTATGTAGTATTGAGAACCAAATCCAGGAAGCGAACACACAATAATGAATGATCGCGTAACCCTAGAATCGAAACGCGAGGCACAGAAGTTTTGTTCAGCATTTCCAATCCCATTTTTTCCACTGCAACATATTTGTTAAAAGAAATATTTGAATTCTGTTTGTTTTTTAAGGAGGCAATTATTTATTTCGATTTCGGTACGCACTATTCAGGGATTTTCCAAGACAGTCGCAGACAATCAGCTTATGGATGTACATGTACGTACAAAACATGCTGTTGTAATATTGGCATCGGTCGCCTGCAAGAAGAGAGCTCCCGCACCTACCAAAAAAGTTCTAAAATTTAGACCGGTTTTAAATAATTAGTGTTGGAAATCTGACATACATGTATTTTTAAAGTGCAAAATTAAAGTAAAATTTTTCAGAATAGAAATCAGCAAATGAAAAAAATAGGGATGCTAGACAGTGTGCTTCGTTAGTTTAAAAAAAAATGGAATGTTCGTCAAATTGACGTAAACTTCCCCATGTTTCATGGTAAAAGCAAAGGTCCTGACCAAGTTGTAGGCTAAAAAAATCAAAATCAAAACAAAGTCATCAATCAGTAAGTATTATGACAAGGAAAACAGAACATCAGTCAGAAGAGAAAAGGTCAGCACAAAACTGATAGGTCAAAAGAGTTGTTAATGTATCAAGTCACCTCTCTCTGTGATTTATTTTTCATGGAAATTATTTGCTTGTTTTCAATTAATTTTAGCGTACCTCTGCAATTTATTTTCATTGAATTAAACGGAGTTCGTCCGGTTGCAAACAAAGCTGTCTCGCACCACCTAGCAAAACTTGCGAATGATCGAAGTACAGGTACCCATTGGACAAAAGATACATGAAAGTTTGTATCTCCCCAACCCAGTGCAATATATCCGGTTAGAATCAAAGCTCACGTGTTCCTTATTTGATTCTGCCATAAATTCGGGATGGGATTTAGAAAAAAATAAAATGGGACTTTTAAGGTGTATTTTGGCGTCATTTTTCGGACATTTCAATCATTCCTGACGCCTAAATCAGAGTCTAAGTTTTACCGTAGTCATTGACGCCTATTCAAGAGTATGATGTTTATTGTGACTGGCATGAATAGGTAAGCTTCGTTTCGACAATGAGCTGTTATCACTGTAAATAATGTTAAATTATTCTCCACATGCTCAGTTTATTTTTTGAAAACAATTATTTAAAAATAAAATCTCTCAGTCAATCAGAAATTCGGATTCACGCCTTCAGGGAAAGTCACGTTTGGACGCTCACATCGATTTTGTTTTTCGTTCGGCGGTCTGAGGCATTCAGTGTAGCTTTTGCCTCTTCCAACATAGAAATCTTCTGAATCTTCTTTCTACCTCTCTTTCTTTTCACACCACGCATAATGTAATGATAAAAATTAGGAAAAAACGCTGAGGAAATATAATGTTTGGTTTGCTAGCGAGCGAGAACTGATTTGAGAATAATTGCACATGTGCGTGATTGAATGAACTATGACCCGTACAATCTCGATTTGCATATTGTCAATCAAAGGTCTTGTTATTTGCTTACTTACTTACTTACATGCAAATTAGGCAATTGGACATAAACATTGCCATGTGTGAGTGTTTTTTTATTTTTATCCAGAAAATAACCAGCAATTTTAACGGTGTTCCAATAAGAATTCATTGGTCAAATTTTCACAGAATGTTCTTTAAGATAAAAATCTATATAAAAAATGAAAAAAACTATTTTTGATTGAAATTCACAAATACACTGCATCTCTACCTTAAGACTTTCAATAAGGTTAGCTACCACGTTGGAAGCAATGACATTGCAAATAATAAAGAGGATGATAAAGTTGTTGAAGTGACTACGCAGCTAATACAATATACAGAATCCGAAATACATGAAGCTGGTACAATCATCATTTCTGGTATTCTTCCTAGAGGCAATGCAGAATTAAATGAACAGATTAAGAAAGTCAACGTGGAAATCAAGTCCAAGAGTAGAAAATGAAGAATACATCGAATTTGTGAATCACAGGAAATTATAAAAAACAAAGAAACTCTACCATCAAGATTGCATCCACCTTAATGACATCAGTACTAAAATTCTGCAATCTAGCCTCATCTATGTTATATCAAGCAAATATGGTTACTATTCTGGTGACAGCACTGAAGAAACCAACTACAGCAGTAGACCAGATTACCATCCAAGACAATTGTCACAATATTTAAGACATCAAAGAACCACTAAACCCAAAAATATTAAGAGTAAAAGTTCAACACAATAATGAATCATCACAAGACACAACAACAGTGTCAAGTATCAACAATGTGATAAGTGGAAATATGCAGACCACTACTGTTGACAAAATCCATGAGTACAATACCAACAACAGCCAACAAGTATCACTGTATCCACCAGGATCTAACAATATGGCAATACCAAACTTTAGAGATATTAATATTGAGTTTCCATTTCTGACAGTAAGTTTCAAGAGAATTTATGGCATTTTGTAAGCCAGTATGTGATTGGGATAATACTACAAGGTCGTCTGCATATAGCAGACATGGGAGACTTGTGTTTAAGAGACTTGGTGGGTCATTCGGAGCCAAGTCTAATGATGTTTTAATGTCATTTACATAGATATTGAAAATGAGTGGGCTAAGTCCATCTCCTTGTCTAATTCCTCTATTAATTGTGAAGCTGTCTGTTACACCCTGTTTAAGTTTAACACATCCTGTTGAGTTCAGATAAATTGATTTTATGTGTAATGTCTTAAGTATCTTTATTGTAATTTGTATATACCAATTCGTATATACCGAGGAGACAACCCCGATTGAAGGTCATGTATTTTGTGACGTCACCAATTCGTGTGTCGGTAAGGCTTCTAGAACCGTGCCACTGTGGTTTACCTGAAGTCACCCCCATCCCACCCATTCGTGTAACATAACAGAGTGTTGGGTTCAATCATTTGTAAATGAACAGTGTCTTGATCGGGTATTATAAATGCAATATTTTACCTTCACTATCTTGCTTGATCAGTCCTCTCTGCTTTAGGCGTGCAACGAGTGCTGGCGGTAAGGGCATCCTTGAATATAATTACCAGAAAAGAAACAGCTTTGATATATTTGTTTTGCGACGATCGAGTTCCCTTCGGAGTACAAATCTCGGACGCAAACCACAAACCTCGCTTTCAATTCGTCATTGGAAGAAATATTGCATTATGGGTAAACTAAACTATCGACTTTTACCTTATCCCGCAATGCTAATTTCCGAGGTACGAGTTTACTTGGGATCTGTACCACGTGCACACAATCTTAAAATGAGAGAAATATACATGGTTGTTACATGTATACAGATGTATTTGTTATTAAAAGATTTTTTGGAGATGCTGAATTGAGTTACAAAAACATCAAATTACAAACTTGACCATGCCCATATTTTAGAAACCATGTCCACTTTGGCGAAAACATGCCAAAATTGTAACTCAATGTTCAATTAAATATTAACCAAACTTTGAGTTACGAGCAACATAAATTGTTCCTGTTGTTTAACGTCCACATAACTCAAACTTTAATTAACAGTTAAAGTACAGTAGTTTTCGCGCCACGCATGTGCGACATTTGTGTTGATAAACATTGATTTTCCCACAACTTGAATCCAATGCGCTTTTCTGATAGACTCCTTCCATACACCTGAAAATTCTTAATTAAAGCTTTGTAACCTCTCATTTTGTACTCGTTGATCTGCACAACAGTCAAAGTCGCCATCTTTTTTTATATGATGATACCCATATATCTTGCGCATGCGTGGTACGACTACCACCCTTTAACTGAACTACGAGTTACGGGCAACATATATGTTTTGTTTTGTTTAACATTTTATATTTCCCCGTAACTAGAAATTCTGTTAATTGAGAATTGAGTTACAATTTGGAGGATGTCTCGCAAAACTGGGCGTGGTTTCTAAAATGTAGGTGTAACTCAAAGTAACTCAAACAATTGAGCATTTTTATTTGTTATTAATGAACCACACACTGCAGTTCCAAGGTTATTAATGAACCACACACTGCAGTTCCAAGGTTATTAATGAACCACACACTGCAGTTCCAAGGTTATTAATGAACCACACACTGCAGTTCCAAGGTTATTAATGAACCACACACTGCAGTTCCAAGGTTATTAATGAACCACACACTGCAGTTCCAAGGTTATTAATGGACCACACACTGCAGTTCCAAGGTTATTAATGAACCACACACTGCAGTTCCAAGGTTATTAATGAACCACACACTGCAGTTCCAAGGTTATTAATGAACCACACACTGCAGTTCCAAGGTTATTAATGAACCACACACTGCAGTTCCAAGGTTATTAATGAACCACACACTGCAGTTCCAAGGTTATTAATGAACCACACACTGCAGTTCCAAGGTTATTAATGAACCACACACTGCAGTTCCAAGGTTTTTGTGAACCTTTATAAAGCAATGACAACTTTATTTATAATAACTTTATAGCTTATTTTAATTATCAAAAGTGTTAGTTGTTGTCATGGTTGCAATAAGTAGGAAGATTCATACACTTTTACAATTTGAAGGCTCTATATTAATATTAAAAGAATATATTAATAAATGATTTAAAATTATCCACATACTGATGTGTAAATGATTATTTATTATTTAAAATGGGCATTATCAATGTTTTTTCTCTCTTTCTTTTTATATTATGTTTAGTTCTGACAATATCAACCATCCAACATAGTGTACAAGTTCACAGGAAACAAAGCAACACTCTAGAAGCTAGTTAATTTCGAGTTTTCCTGACCAACTGTGAAACTCAAGCTGAGAGAATTACCAATTTGCATAATCATTACCCAGTGCAAACAGATATTTAAAATAAAGTGGCCATAACTCTCACATAAACACAACGATTGCTGTTTTGTAAATGTTATTAATAGTAAATATATGGATATTCTGATACCACCTTTCACAATCAAATTATATATGTACTATGTACACATTTGAAATTTATGGAAAGTGTTCAAAAAAAAAAAAAAAATACAATTAATGAATTTGCTCTAGCAAAAACCTTTTTTTAGGCTTGCCAATGCTCATCTATACCTTGATTTTTAATTCTTTAATAACAATTTGCAAAAGTTATTTCGACTCACAGATTGACGCACACTCAAACCACTATAATAATCGTCACAGTCTGACTGATTAAAATAAGATCCTAGCTTTTTTATTTTATTCTATTTTTTTTAAATATGTATTTATATATTTGTTTTTCATATATGATATTTTATTTCATTTCAATTTATAATTTACATGTATTTGCTGGTAGTCACTCGTAAGGGTTGGTGAATTAAGCCTTATTGGCACTTTAAACAAACTACCAGCAACTAAATATTAAAATAAAATAAAATAAAATAAAATAAAATAAAATAAAATATCTTAGGATCTTTATTTCAGTCATACTGCAGAGTAGAGCGATAACAGTTTGTTATCCTCTCAGCCTCGATTTGGCAATTGACATGCACAATCCTATTGGTCAATATTGACCCATAACCTGGACCTGTTCTTCACCGGAAAAGAAAGAACACACAACGCGATGGCGGGGCATATGAGTAGGCTAAAACTCGCTTTAGGACTTGTAATCAACTTATTTTCTTCCATCTGTATTGTTTTTCTAAACAAATGGATTTACGTGTCATATGGCTTCCCCAACATGACGCTGACGTGTATGCACTTCCTCGTCACTTCGCTGGGATTGATTATTTGCGAGAGATGGAATATATTTTACCGAAAAAATCTGCCTATAAGTGGTATGCTTCCACTTAGCTTGACTTTCTGTGGGTTTGTCGTCTTTACTAACTTATCCCTACAGAGTAATACAGTAGGCACGTATCAACTAGCTAAGACCATGACAACACCGACAATTATTTGTATACACTGGGCGTTTTACAACAAGCCGTACTCCACAAGGGTGAAGGCAACTTTGGTGAGTTACCCCATATAAATATTCGATGATACTGTATTTAATTTTATCCCATGTACCGTTCCCGTTCTACGTGATACATCTCAAATGATATTTTAATATCCCTCCACTGATATAAATCCGATTGGCTACTCATGATTTGATTGGCAGTGCAGTGGTGCGCGCGATTCGAAATTATGACGTCATTCACAAATATGTCAAAACATTTGACCACTCAGCAATATTTGAAAAAAAAAAATAATTGTCAGGAACATGCGTAAGATTAATGTTTTCACTATATACTGGTAATTTCAGACATTCACAAAAGTGTCGCATATACACAAAATATTTCGGGATTCTACGAACCACAACTTAATTGCTTCTAGCAGCACAAGAGAATTTGTTACCCTGTTATATGGCTCATTAAATTCCCATAAAATTTGTAAAATAAACTTACTTCAAAAATTAGTAATTATGTTACCAATTTATCGTAAAATCAAAAATATATTTCCCAAGATGAATTGTTTGTAAAGTAATGACTTTCCAGTATGCAAATGAGATACAGATATGTATTGGCATTTCCCATTTATCCATAACATTACTATGCAGAGAATGCTTGTCCAAGATGGCTGCAATAATTTTTTTTTTGCAATTACATTATTCTATTACATCTGAGGGGTGTGAATATCAATATGATGTTTTTTTAAGGTTTTTCATTTGTTTTTGCAGAGCCATGCACTCAACAGATTTCAATACTAATGTGCATGTGCTCTGAAATACTACACAGACCTGATTAACATCTGAACATGTTATCAACTCTTTCTTACGCATGCAACGGCTTTGTACTGACATAACTCATGATGGGTTAATGATGCATCAAATATAGACAGGAACTACGTCACTAACAATGACTTTTTTGTTATATTTATTTTGTAGATTCCAATAACAATAGGAGTATTTTTAAATTCTTATTATGATGTGAAATTCAATGTATTAGGAACAGTATATGCAACGTTGGGTGTTTTAGTCACATCTCTCTATCAAGTGGTAAGTTTCATTAACTTGTTGATTTTGTATGCATTTTTTTATTTAATTGTTGAATTTTATAGCCTCCAATAAATTAAAAATGGTTTTAAAATTTATATGTTTTGAAACAACACAGTGTCACACTATATATGTTGTTTTCCATATTGGTGTTGGTTATACAACCAACAATTTCAACCACCCAGGCTATGTGCTATCCAGTTTTCTGCAACCACCCAGGCTATATGCTATCCAGTTTTCTGCAACCACCCAGGCTATATGCTATCCAGTTTTCTGCAACCACCCAGGCTATGTGCTATCCAGTTTTCTGCAACCACCCAGGCTATGTGCTATCCAGTTTTCTGCAACCACCCAGGCTATATGCTATCCAGTTTTCTGCAACCACCCAGGCTATGTGCTATCCAGTTTTCTGCAACCACCCAGGCTATATGCTATCCAGTTTTCTGCAACCACCCAGGCTATGTGCTATCCAGTTTTCTGCAACCACCCAGGCTATGTGCTATCCAGTTTTCTGCAACCACCCAGGCTATATGCTATCCAGTTTTCTGCAACCACCCAGGCTATGTGTTGTCTATTTTTCTGCAACCACCCAGGCTACCGGGTATATGCTATCCAGTTTTCTGCAACCACCCAGGCTATATGCTATCCAGTTTTCTGCAACCACCCAGGCTATGTGCTATCCAGTTTTCTGCAACCACCCAGGCTATGTGCTATCCAGTTTTCTGCAACCACCCAGGCTATGTGCTATCCAGTTTTCTGCAACCACCCTGGCTATGTGTTGTCCAGTTTTCTGCAACCACCCTGGCTATATGTTTGTCTAGTTGTGTTGTCTATCCTATGTCTGCACCGTACAACATATGACATTTTATTAGTTGCTCTAGGATAATGTGCAGACCTGATTAGTTTTTAGTTGAAATCAATGTGATGTGATGTGATGTAGGTATTGGAGTTATAAAGTATAAAAAAAAGGAATGCTGTATTTATTATATACATGTATATTTTACAGTTAGCACATATGCTTCATATGCATATCATTTAAAATATAACTGCAAGCAATGATAAGTGTGGTTCCAAGTAGCTGTGGTTTAACAAATATTTAATGAAATAATGTTCATATATGATGATAGTTTATACAATGAAGCACCAGTTGCATGTTCCTATCTGCAACAGTACTCAATATATATTTTGAGAGGCTATTATCTTGGATATAATTTGAGTGGTTGAATCATAAAAACGAAAAAGAAACACCGATTTTGAGACAAAAAATTTGCCGATGGCCGTTACATGCACCACACCAGCACCACACAGTAAAAGACTTTATTGTAGTGTTTAGTAAACAATGTCTCAGTTCATTCTCGCTGCCTCAAAAAAAATACACTCGCCCAATCATTCTGTCATGGTATGGTTTATCTTTTTCAGGATTTGGTAGCCCTGGTACAATTCCGTTTTTACTTCCCAATAGCATGAGCATCGTCAAATCCCTGGTGCTAAAATGTGTGTTTGCAGATTACACAACGTTTTTTCTCGTCGAAAGCTATTTGGCCAATCAAAAATCATAATTCACGCATCGGTGAGGTGATTAGCACATGACATCATTTTGACCCCAAAGACGCACTTAGAGAATAATTTTCAGGCGTTTCGAAAAACAACTTTCGTAAATTAATTTGCCAAACTAAAATATGGCAACTTTTTGAAAATAGCACAATTCAACAAACAAAAAAAATATGGTAATTTCGTCCTTCTTAGGCATGCATTCAACCATTTGCATTTTTTTTGAAGATATATGTGAAACTAAAACACTCCAACGTTCTTTTAAATAGCATGATACAAGTAAAAATTACGATAATTTGATCAGCAGATGTTATATTTTATCGAAAACAGGCAAAACATATTTCCAACGACGACTACATCACGATCCCCAAACGTTGCCAGGACCAATCACAAACAAGAAAAAAGACAATGAATTTTCGGATTAGCACTTCTGTTTTTCCCCACGCTAACGAAAAAATCCTTTGTCTTCTACTGACCTGCTGACACAAAACAAGTCGGCGCAGCCATTTCCGGTCCTGGGTGACAGTTCGTAAATTTCGGAACAACAACTTTTGAACACTGATTTGCCCAACTAACAAACACTAATGTTTGAAATTAGTATGATTTTAGTCATCATCAAGACTAATTCCCGTATATACATTAGTTGTCGTTTTCAGAATAGTCAGTACAGAAAAAAGTCTGACAAATATTACGATTACTAATAGAATCGTGGATTCAAACAAAAGTGATGCAAATATCAAAATTGATAGTGATGATGAATAAACATTGCATTGTCATTGAAACTTTTACGCACAAATTAAACTTGGGTTGTTTATTTTTGTAGGTCTAGTGAGGTTGCGCTGCAAAATTAACCAACTTACATGACATTCGATGTTTTTTCGACTTCAGCATTTGAAAGTTTAGAGTACATTCCAAAAATAAAGAAATCATTTTTTGAATGCAAATACCGGTAATACTCTCGCTATGAAGTGAATGTAAGTGGTAGTAGCTTCGGCGACTTGAAGTCTGGATGCCTCAGGAATGTTTCAAAACAATGTTTATTGTAGCAAACCAGGGAGCTACAATTTTGTTTGTAGCTTCACAAGCAAACCAACATCAATAACTGACAAAGCAATTATATTTACCATCTTGAGAATTTTAATTTTGCTTGTTTTGTTGGGTTGCATTTATCACGTGGCTATGAGTATGAAGCCATGCAAATTACAGTTGTGTGCGTGAAGCTGTGAGCACGTCTGTTTTTGTAAAATACTAGACAGTGCAAAGACACGCAAGTTGTTGGCGTTGGAACTTCATAAAATCCCATGATGAAATACAAAAGAAGTGGCCGATGGAATGAGTACAATGAAGTGAAACATTGTTTCAACTACGTAACGGTAGACCTAGATTGCATCATATAAAACAACATTACATTGATGGCGCAGAATGACAGCTCAACTAGTGGGCAATTTCGATAAAAAAGGACTGTAAAATTAATATTGTACTCGACCGCGTTAGCGCCCATACTTGGTCTTGCGTAACGGATCTTGGTAATCGTTTTTATATGATACAGCGTGGATATCGACTGCTGTGAACATGTTGTGAATGCGTAGAACACAGTAACCGTGCATAAACTACGCTTTGACAATGACCTGTTGATACAAGTAAAATGCGGTAATTATTTCATGCCATATTCAGTTTACCTCTCAAAAATGACTAGTTATTAGTTTTTTTGGAAAAACCATGTCGTTTATTCGCTGAAATCAATTCCAACAGATTGTACTTCGACATCGATAATTCACTTTCGCATTGCATTACTGGAAAGTCTTCGAGAATTTCTGAAGAATTGCGTCAGTACAACACAGCATTCTGATTAGTTAATAACCAACTTGACCCATTAGGTCAAAGTACGCTGCTGCAGGTCAAATCTGCAAATGCATCATGGCGGAAAGTGATTTTCATCAAGCGTTTGTGTACGGGATCCAACATCTTCGTCAGTGGAGATAATATGACAATTTTGACTGTGTTCCAACAGACAAATGATTTTAATTTCGTAAATTTTGGTGGTACGTAATTAATATTGTAATAAAATGTGCATATTTTTTTTTATCATTTCTGTTTCTTCATTGTGAAAATCAATGACGACTCAACTAATTTCGTAATTTGATTTTCCCTCAAAGACGTATTCTGTCACTTGATGAATCAAATTTTTCATTTGGCACTCTTTTTCGAGGGGGGTGCTTGGGTAAGTGCCCACCCCTAAAAAATCATGAATTTTTGAGTTGAGGCCCCTGGGCGCTAACGCGGTAGAGTACGGTAGATCAAGAATGGAAATATTGTTTAAACTTGGTTACAATTGACCTAGATTGCGTCCTTGCATACAAAAATAGTTCGTACGCAAATAATGAGAGCAGAATGATTTGTTAGTTTCCAATAATTTTGTACTTTTCGATGCCCCTACAAATGTAATAACAGTATTTCACATAAAACCATCCCGATTGCGTTGATAGACAAGATTGAAAATCAATCATTTTGAACCCAGAATGGGGCACAGTATGAATTTCTCGATGGCGCAGAATGAGGGGCGCAGAATACGGCGCAGACTGGTGGCGCAACTAGGTAGCACACAATGTTTATTTTGGGTAATGTGCCGGTGCATTCCAGTGGTGCAGAGTACCAATTTCAAGCCTCACACATACCTCCTACATCTCTTCCTTTCAGTTCGCCACAAGATGGGGGCAGCACCACATGAACCACTATTCATGCTTCCTGAAAGAATACCACTCGACTGTGCCCATTTCACCAACTCACCCCGGTTTCTTCTTGCTAGGCTCGGCTTCAAAGCTCGCCTCTTTGTGGGACATTCATTTTGCATTGGGGCAGCCACAATTGCAGCAAGTGTGCATCTCCCATACAACCTTAATCAAACAATGGGCAGAGGGTCGAGCAACTGTTATCGCACATACATCATAACACCTGAAGAGTTGCTTCAGTCAGCTTTTAGTACACTTGCTTTTATATGATTATTCGAACTATACCAATCACTCTTGCTGTAAACCTGACATTCTGCTGCGTGCATTTAGCTTTTAGCAAATTGTATTTCCTTTTTACATCGTGTACACAATTCATTTTGCCTTTGCCTATTTTTATTTGTCTACATGTTTGCTCCCCCAGGCCGATGTACCAGTTACATCCTCTGGGTCGAGCAGCATTCACAACTACTTTCTCACCTGGGCCGTCATGCCTGTCTTCCAGCCACCACCCCCCAGACAGACATACCAATTATGTCCTCTGGGTCGGGCTCTGTTCTCATTCCTCTCTCTCGCATTTCTTCATGGGGGGGTCCCTTTGGTCACCACTTTATGCCTCCCTCGGTTTGGGCTCATGGACTCCATCCTGCCCCCGATTCAGGGCTCGGCGGCCAACTTCTTGGTCACCTCCCATCTATCTCAGCTTCGCAGCAGGATCTCCTTGAC